CCTGTTCTCCATTGTCCTGAAGCTTACCTGGCACATCACAGAAGAACTCTTTACTGAAGTCCCACTCAGCTTGCCGTTTGTCTCTGTCAAAGTGGTCTTTGGGCCGCCTGGGCTCTTGGTGACTGGAACAGTAGAAGGAGAATAAGCAAACATCTGAAGCACTGAACTAAGGTGCTGAACAGGATGTGAACTTTACACAAAATACCTTGATGTCACTGGGAAGTGCTAGACCATTCTGTGTAATCTATGAAGCTTTGCATGATTCATAGCTCAGTATTATAAAATCATCAGCCCTTGGTTAAGTTTCCTTCCCCACCCCTTTGAACCAGATATGTGATTGGCTACTCCTCACAAACAGAAGCTTTGCACAGCGGGAGGGCAGCGTTCCTGCACTTCCAGCCAGAGTTGGGCATGAAATCACCTTTGGCATCAGAAAGAATCAAGAGTAGGAAAAAACAGACCCCCCCCCCCCAAAACAAAACAAAACAAAAAAACAACAACTATCTGACTGTTTAGACCAGTCCGAGTTGTATGATCATCCACCACTGTAACAGTACACACTCAGTGGCCACCTTATTTGATGCACCTTTGTGACTGGACATTTGTATTAATCACATGGCTGCAGCTCAGTGCATTAAGGCTTGTAGACTTGGTGAAGATGGTGATCATGGGATGAAACCAGATTTTGCAGAAGGCCATATGCAAATGATTTCATTTTGTTTCTTGAATGAAACACTTCAAATTTAGCAAAATGTCTAAAAAACAAAACAAATGATTCATTCAAGAAATTTAAGTTTCAGATCACAACAACATCTGAAGTATCCTGTCCTCCTTATGTTATCCTGAAACACACATTGACACTTTGTTTGAGGCCACTGTTGTTGTAAAATTAACTTTATTTCATAGAGTTAATTCCTAACATTCCTATTACTGTTTTATATGGTTATTATTGTTTTACTTTTTAATGGCATTTTTATATTGTTAAGTTTCCTCTGCACACTTTGGGCCACTTAGTGAGCAACAGCCAGAAGAAATGTAGTATTTCTAAAGCTAAACGTGGCCCCAACCTGGTACTAGCTAAATGTAACTAACAAAATGACCAGTGAGTCTATAATAAGATAGCTAGCTAACATTACAGTTGAACTATTGGAGATACCATTTCCGTTAAGTTCTGTCAGAGCTCCTGAACAATGAGAGCAAAAATGTGTCACTTGGTACTTAAATGTGTTCAATGACTGACAGAAAATGAGGAAAAGCTCTAAAAATATTTGTAGCACAAATGTGCTGCAAATATAATAATCAGTCGGTACCAAGTTAAACGATTCTTATTCACGACTTCGTGAATCAAACAGATGCTGCTGTGTCAGAAAAGGCAGCCGTCATCGCAGCTACCTACAAGAAATCAGATAAATGACTCTGCAGTACAGCGAGGTACTGCTGTCATTGTTCTCATAATCATAATGGTAACTCTGAGCAGGGCGCCCGGGGGGAGACGTGCAGATCAGCTTTTTAAATGAGCCACATTTTTAGGAGGAAAGGAGGAAGGGTAATCAGGCGGCTGTCAGAGAGAGTGACAGACAGAGGGATGAGCCAGGGGAGCTCGCTGACAGCAGCAGGAGCCACTTTCTGATAAGCACAATTACATGAAGACAGACACGCGGCGCAGGACAGACGAAGGCGTCCACAGAGGGGGGCGGAGACAACAGACTTTAATCAGCAGAAGAGAGCTGCAGCTTTTAGAGGCTCTAATCTTAGCTACATGTATCTACACAACATCTGCTCATAAAAACTTAAACATTAAATCTGACTCAAAGACTGTTCTGATTTTAATCATGCTAAAGTGACATGCCTGTGAATATGGTGATATGCATCAAATAAGCAAAACTGAGCAACAGTAAAATTTAAGAAACCAGATGTCTGCAGTCTGATGTGTGCAGGAAGACCTGAAAGACATGCAAAGACTTGCTCTTGATTAGTGAGCAGACTCTGGCTGACAGGAGGCTGACCTCATGGACGAACCTCGACTAGTCCCTCTTCTTTCAGGAGATTCAGACAGGTCTGTCAACAGTATCCTTCACCCCTACCTCTGACCCCCATGCCTTTAACTCTCGCTCCCCTGTGACCTCTCTTCTTGGTTTATAGTGGAAGCCAACGGCACGAGAGCCAAACAAAGACACTATATGATGTCTTTGTTCAACCAGTAACAGTTTAATAATGTTCTCTACAGTCACTTCAGTTTTACAGCCTCGAAAGTAATTAAACATTTAATAATGTCTAAGAAAATTATGTAAGTTTATTTGATTTAAAGAGTTTTATTTTGGACAACTTGCTTTAAATGTTTCATATTTATAGTGTCCACCAGGTGGCACTTTACACTTTTTACCTTTTCCTGCAAGTTTGCAGAGTTACTCACACAATAAGTGGGTCTCACTACTGATGATTGATATTGGACAATGGTGTGTGTGTCTGTGTGTGTTTCAGTCTCAAGTCTTCTCTCTTAGAAAGCCACTCTGTGTTTAAACTAAAGCCGTGATAATAAACACTGATAGCTTTTCAGTGCTTCAACAACACTGAAAACAAAATTGGGCTCTTTGGTTCTGGCTCAGGTAGTTTATGGTGGAGCAGTTATTTTGAAGAGGGCAACACTTTACAGCACACAGGAGGCTCTGGGAATGATCTTTTAGGGGGAAAGAGGAGGTAGAAACGGAGCATCTCCAACTCTGACCCATCTGAAGATGAGAGTGGAGGGGAGGTGGATGAAGGAGCAGCAGGATAGACTTTTCCATTTCCATATTCTGGTCTCCCACAAAGACCAGAATATGGTCTGCAATGCTCTGCTATGTTCCAGCAGCCAGAGGTCTGATCCCTTGACCTACACGCTATGGAGGAAATCCTGCAGCTAATTGTGGCAAACGTGACAAAGAGACCCTCAATGCAAAATGTGGACACAGAAAACTCAGATGTGCAGGGCAGTGCGGCTGCAGTTTACCTGGAGGTGAAGTGGACAGAAGCCTGCACTGCTGCAGAGAAGAAGTAAAAGGTCTGACTGGAAAACTAATGTCTGAGGAGCCAGAAAAGCTCATATGATGCAGCAGGGACCTGCTGTCAAAGTTTGCTGAGCTACGCCGCTGCTCATCCATGCTCGAAAAGTCAAAACCATAATCTTAAAGTGAACACTGAAGTCGATGGGACACAACAATGTGACAATGAGAGCACTAAAGACTCAATGAGAAGACTCGCATTGGGATTAAACTTGTCGGTGTTCGAAGGAGATTTTACACAGACAAGTGAACAAAACACTGTTGTGTTTTTCAGAGTTTGCTGCCCATGTAATCAATCGACTGACTGCACATTTTAGCGTGGACTAAGGGTTAGACAAATATTTAACATGTGAATGTGAGATTTGTCCTCCTGCAGCGACACTTGTGCAACAAATCTTTGTTTTCTTCTGCTAAAGCAAACATCTGCAGATGAACCCACCGATGAGAGCTTTAATGTCAATCGCCTTTCAGGCGGCTTGATGAGCAGACAGAGAAACTCGACAGCCTTTGGAAAAAAAGCTGCTAAACCGGCTCTCACATGTTCCTGCACGGAGCTTCAGAAAGCATCTCAGATGAGTGTAAACTCACATTTTGGCCTGCTCATCTGCATATTTGAATGGATAATTGGCCAGTGTGGCTTTATAGCCCGTGTTCTTCACCATATTGTTCCATGTGACTAGTCGCTGGCCAATGGCTGTTCCCCGTGGCTCGAAGCCCTTGTAGGAAAAAAAGATACCAGAAATAAAACAGCAGAAATTGACATGATTATGCTTGTAGAAATGTATTGTATTAAGGCAAACTGATCGTTTTATTATCACACAGTTCTCATCACGCTCAGCCAATACAGGACGTTTAAGCCCGACACACATTTTTAGCGATTTAAAAATCAAATATATTCACTGATATTCCCCTAAAATCAAACCCTGAACTATTTCATCACAATATCTATGGAAATTTAGAAATTATTAGAAATAACGTGAATAACAGTCAAATTCATGTTTGCTTTTTTTGTACACAAAGTTTGGCAAACTAAACTCAAACATAACAGGACCACATAGAACCGATCAGCCTGCATGAGTGCGTCTATATATACAACATGAGTACTGCATTTTTCAGACCATAAGGCGCATTAAGCGAAACAAAACAGTCAGATAAGTCAAACTTTACTCAACTCATTCTTCTTGCTTCCTCC